GTTATGCATTACACTGTAATTTTAATTGGAACATAAAGATGTAAGAATCAGTATATTGGCTTCTTTTAATTATTTTCTTCAGCACTAGAGTGTTTTTCCCAACCATTTGACTGCATGATCATATTACACATTTACAAGCACAGACTTTATGAATCCCTCACAAGGCATTAATCTAGGATTGTCTACAAGGACAAGGAAGAGTTAACATAGGAATTATTTCAATTATAAAAACAAATGATGCATTTTTGGAAACAAGAATTATTTAACTTTTTTGCTTAAAGTAGCATAAAGTAGCAACAAGAAGAGTTTCCAATATTCAGTCTTTAGCAAATGAACATATATACTTTTATATTCTTCACCACCTAGAAACACTCCATCATTTAACCCCAAGAAGGCAGGACAACATAACGTCAATTCAACATAGGAGTAGCTGAGTTATTACAGCAGTAAACATACAGTCTACAAATTTGTGTTTGTCACAAACTCCACCAATGTTAAAACTCTTTTGAAAGGAACACAGCAATCTGTATGGTTCATTAGATACAGAACATCATGCAAATGGAAACATTCAATAGATTACAAAAGTCACAAAACATCAGTTTTCTTTTTTTTTTTAAATTGTTTACAAAGGATCAAGTTAATTAACCCTTTAACAGTCAAACCACAGGGCTGAAAATCAATAGGGCAATAACTAATGAAATGGACTTAATTTATCAACTGGCATAGCACACATAGCCATATCTGTGAACAGGAGGGAAAAAAAAATAGCTAGATTACTCTTATTTCTTCTTCATAGCTGATACAATAACAACTCAGCTAGCAAACCGGTCTACTTGAAACTTTTATCAATCACTTGTGTTTATGGATTTCCAAAATATTTTTGAAATCCAACAACCATATAGTCAATAAAACCAGTTTAACTGAGATTACTAATGCTGAGAAAAAACATACACTCTTCTCCACTCTTTCTTTTACAGCAAATCATGATAATCAAAACAAATACAGGGCTTTGTAGGAGGACATTTTTGAAATACAAGGCCCTATCACCCAGAGTCTGATTGTACCTTAACTCCAGTCATGGAATATAGGATTTTTCCTTTACCTCTTGTCAGTTTGTCACTTGGTTGCCATCAGATTTCACAAAGGGGATTTTCAAGAACTCCACAGGAAACAGATTAAAAACCAATAAGAATTTAAGCTGTGCACCTCTGAATGAAAGATACAGACTCTCTGTGATAGTCCCCTTGCCTTTCTAGCAAGAGGATTATGCAGATTGCACAAGAAATAAGAATTTTCTAGCTTAGTTATGGATATGGAAAAGCTACATGATGTTAAGAATCTCATGCAAGCATTTTACATTGCATATTTAGATGTATTTGTGCCTGAAGGCAAAAGGCAATTGATTTTTTGTTTCTTTTCCACAGGACGCTTAATTATACTAAAAAAACCTCTTAATGGCTAAAAAAAAGTCTCAATATGGTACATCCCTTTCAGACTCACTGCACACACAGCAAAGGAAAACTGAAGAAAAGTGATGACTGGAATTTTCAAAGAGGTAAATATAGCAACTATCATACTTCAAAGGTAAAACATCAGTGCCTGCCATTCTCAAATGAAGATATCTGAAGTACAAAAGAAAGAAATTTACTGTAACCTCAGTGGACATGCATCTTCCACCAAAGAAAGGAACAAACCCCAGAAGGGCTGTTATAATCTGTACCATGTGATGATGATCAATCGAGCTATAGTGGAATTGGTAGCACAGCTACTGACTTTGGCATTGCACACTGAACGATAAGGTTGATATCAAAATAACAGCCCAGACAGATGGGTGTCACTCCTGGTGTGATAAGGACTGGGTCATATTTTACTGATTGCTTAACTATTTCCAGCATAACTATCATGAGCAGCCTTCATAGGTGAGGTCATATTTCATAAGTGAGGTTATATTTCATAACATAAACTCCTTTCTGTTCACACTTAAATATGGCAAATGGCTTAAGTTCACAATATTTAAAAATAAAAAATAAACTAAAAGTCATGTTGGCATTAAAACTTGCAGTGTTAGTTACAGTTTCATTCTATGAACCCTACTGTATAGCTCTGATTACATTAATTTACTGCAAAAAATATGGATGGAGAAAGCACAGAGATGCCAACTTGACAGTCACATCAACCAGAAAGAATATCACTGTTGCCTCCATCTAGAAGGCAGAAACTTCTATATGATTAGCATGAAAAATGGTAATATTTCCTCTTTCTGTAAAACCTCCATTTATCTTCTGACTGATAGAAAATATATTTTTCCATACTATTACATTTTACAATTTATTGATTCATCTTTTTATCCCCTTATATTTGATTTTTTTTCTATTCACCCCCCCTCTTTCCTATAAACTGGATTTCCAGAAATGGATCATTTCACTGAACAAGGAATATTTTTCACTACATCCGAAACTAAAACCCAAACCAAACTGCCCTAGAACTGAATAGGCTATTCCAAATCCAAATTCAAGGTCATCATAGAGAACAAAAGCTGTATTTCAGATACAAAAGTCAGAGCAGGATTTGAATCGCTTCCTTACTGTGTAGGACACATTTCAGCATTTCTGAGTATACTCAGCTGTTACAAATACATGTATAATTTTTTCTTGATCTTTAAAAATCAGAATAGATATCAACACATCATAAATTAATTTTAAATGGGCAAAATACAATATTTTGCAACCCTTTAAAAAACAGGCTTTCATTTCTGTTTTTGTCCACATGTAAGTATTTCCTACAAAATTGTATGTTACCAATCATTATGTAATAAAGAAGAGTTTATCATCTCAAGTTCAAGGTATGTATTTTATTTTGTACTGGTTAACTGTCAAAAGTTGTCCCCGGGACCTACACTGTTTTATAACTTACAATGCAATAACTACAGCCATTTGTACATTTAAGTTGGTTTGTTTCTAGTCCTCTTACATTTCCAACACTTAACTTTTATTACATATAAAAAAATGTAAATTGAAAACTTAGAAATGAAGAATTTAAAGTTTAAGACAATAAAAAAATTCAATAAACTCTCTTATTTCTATAAAATAGGGCCACAATTTCTATACCATTGGATGCTGTTTCGTAACTCTTCATCCACATGGACATACCAGTTCAATGTTTGAATTTCCCAAAGTTGCTCTGCAAATCACAACTCGAAACAAATATGTTTCTAAACAACTGTTCCGATACAACATTTTTTCCAATAAATTCATATCTGTACACAAAGGAAATGTATTTCACTGAATTTCTGTTTAATTTAACTTAAATCCAGGGAAAATGTGTTTGATTTGGATATGAAAATAGCAAAAACTATTCCAAGTGCAGCCTGCAGTAACTGCATTCAAAGTGCAATGCAAATTCTTCTTTTTAACAATACACAGTAGCTGTCTTTGTTGGATGCAGACGTGGCCACTGTACAATATTCATACACCAGTCTGACAAGGTCAGGAGTTCTGAAACACTTTTTGAAGGCAGCATTTGCCTCAGACAAAATGTTGCTTTTTTAAAAATAAAAATCAATTTTATTTTTCAAAATAAAAATAAAAATCAAAAGAGCAGCTAATCTGTGTCAGGCATTAGGACAGAGCTGAACAAGGTTTCACTTGACTTTTATATGACAAGACAACACGTAGGTTAAGTATGATACTGAATAGCGAGGTAAATGTATATGAGAAGAATCATGCAAACTGCATGGAAACTGAAGTCGAAACACTGCCAAGTGTTGTCTGTTTGATCCGATCAGAATTGGATGTCAGTTTGTTCTTATTTTCTCCATCTCTGACTCTGAATGTTTTGTTACAATAGCTCAGCTGCTTTGCCAAGGTTACATGACATACGTTGTTGATGACACAGAGTATTTCTATTTACAGCACCTTCGTTACTGGTACTATGGTAATAATGATTTGTTAGGCACACTGAATGGTCACTGATTCTTTCCTCTGCTGATGTTTTGTGTATTGTAACATTTGATAAGCACTGTTACTAACAGAAGACTGACTTAATTTTCTCAGATTCAGGCAGACTATGAAAGAATTATTCCAACCACACCTGCAGCAATTTTTTTTCCCCACCTGCTCTGTACCTTAGGCTGTACTGTGTTTCCCGCTTGTAGGTCATACGTATGCTGCAGAGAAGGAATAAAGACATGTGGAAATATCTAAGCCTTTCTTCTGTGAATAAATTAAGGCCACCTGGCAAAGCAAGGAGTCTGCTAGTTACCAACAAGTAGGCAGGTAGGCAGTACTGCAGACTTTTTTCCTAGCTGATGACCAGACGGGAAGCCCATAGATGCTGAACCATAACCCCCTAACTTAGCCGCTTGCCTTGCTGTCAGGTACTGTGCAAAATAAATTCCCCTATCCTTGATTTTGTTCTGAAACTCACCACTTTTAAGAAAAAACCCAGACTTACTCAGCTTTTACAGGAAAGAATCTTTAACTAGGAACACTGTGCACTGTTGCGATAGAGTCTGCGTAGCGTAGATCACCTGAGTATTTGTCATAAACTGACATGAGCTAAGGTTCTGTGTCTGTTGATTTTTGGCAAGGAAAAAATGCACTACAGCAAAGTTCTGCTAACTTTGATCCACACCATTAACCCTACCTGCATGAGTTCTTTCACCACAGAATACTTCACATGAAATGCATACAACTTTGCCATTCATACTAGCCTTCCATGGTAAGGCCTCAAGCTAGTATCCTGAATATGGGAGTGGAAGGAAAGAATGTTTTTAATTAGCACACAGCATTTTACTTGTTTTAGATTTTCTTTCTCAGATACCAAATAGAAAGTAACCCCAAAAAACAGCACCAATTCATCTACTTGTCTGAAATGCAAAAATATAATTACAATGCAAGCAAACAACTGAAAACAAATCAATACATCATCCTTTCATCTCCTTCTTAGGCTTAATAATTATCTTTCAGTGAAGACCTAGAACAAAACCAGAAGCTAGTGTCATAGGAATTAAAAAACCAAGTGCATAAACAATATCAGTGCAGCAGCAAAATATACAGTCATTGTTAACATTCCAATTCAACCCCTTTCCAACATTTTTGTGCAATAAAAATTGGCCATATGCTGGCCAATGCAACAAGCCTCTTTTTAACACAGTCATTCTTCACTTCAGCTATTTCTGCTTGTTTTTAAAAAATAAAATCAATTAAATACAACTCTCACAAAAAAAAAAAAAAAAGACTGTTATTTTATAAACAAAAAATTCTGGTGCAAATAAAGTAAGAAATAAATATCACACCCTTAATGACAAAAGGAAATTTGAACTGGTTCCTATGGCTGAACTTAGAGGATGTGAGGGTAGGATTTTTGTAACATACTATTTTTAGTATTGGCTTAAGTCTCTCATTATTTCAGAGGTAAAGCCAAGCAGCTGAGAGGAACGTTTTTGTCAAGATGTTGAATTTCACTACACTTTAGTTGTGATAGCAAAGTTTGAATACAATCAGAGGAACCATAAAAAGTCTTCTTGATAGGTTGGACTCTGTGCTTTATGTTCTTCTTCTCAACCTTCCCTCAGTCGCCAGAGCAGGGGATATGAATCCAGATTTGTCAATGCAGCAACAAGGCAGGATTGTCTAGCCCCTTGCTGGGAACAACCCCAACCTTTGTTGCATGAACTCCACTCTGTTTGCGTTTTCTCTTACGTTGCATATGAAGATTAGGGGTAAGGAGGAGGCTTAGAGAGACAGTTGAGAGGGGCACACTGGGAGCTGGAATGTGGCTGCTCTTCTGGAAGAGCATTAGGACTGAAAATTAAACAAAAAAGAGAAGAAGTGCTTAAAATACACGGCAAACGTCTTACATGCACACAAATAGTACAGGGCCAGAAACAAACTTTAAAAGGGGATGAAGCCTCATCTATAAATCTGTACCCTCAGATACACAGTAGACATAAAGAAAATCCTCAGTGCGCACACATTCAGTGACACCTGGATGCACACATGAAGTGGCACAGATATCCTGCTTGGCAGTTCATGTACCCAGTTGCTGTTTGCATGCTCTGATGAAAAACGCTGTGCAGAGAAATGAATGCATGTGCAAAATGCGGGAGCAAATTTGAAGGGCAAAATACAGGTTCCATATTTATGTGAGCATTAAAGATTTTCTATATGCAACTGATTGTTTGAAATGAAGGACAATGCCAGTCTGGAAATCAGGTTTCATAACTTTGTGAAAACGTGGTTTCTTACTGCATGTGACCTATTTCCTAGTATATTCATACAAATGTGGTGTAACCTTCCTCATCAGGCAACATAACCATTACATATTTTGTAATTAACTCTTCCAAAGGGGGGGTGGGGTGGGGTTGTGTTTTGTTTTCTTTTGGTTTTGTGCTGTTTGAATCCTCTTCAATTCTGTTATATACTTTTGTCATTTGACAGTTTTTCACTTACAATTTGTCTGATAACAGCATTCACCCCTGAAGCCTCTAAATGTGCATTTATAGTGTACACTGTCATATAGTGCAGAGAGGTCTGAACCACCTTTCAGCAAACCAAGCGCGGCTGGAGCAGCAGCCTAGCAGTGCGGCACAACGATAAGGGGCAGCTAACACAAAGATACCCCACTTCTTGGTGCGGAGTTGCAGGGTGCTCCTGCTAGAAAAGCTTTGCATAATCAGGTTTGCTCATTTAAAGGCAGCTCAGCAGTCTATGTTACACTGCAGTAGGCAATGTGGACACAGCTTAAGTGAGTCGGGTATGATTCCTCAACCTTGGCCTGCCCTGTTTTAAAAGGGTGAACTTCAGCTCATCTTGCCAATGTCAAGCTAAGTGGCAGTCATCAAACTTTCAAGGAAAGCATGTGGCAAAACAAGATAGCAAAACAGAATGCAAGTAAATGCAATTTATCAAAAAAACCCCCAAAACAGTTCTTTAATGTGTCTGGGAAGAGTTTTTTTCCTAATGCGTCAAATGTTCTAGTCTTGAAGTAATTCCAAGCTCAACAGTGGGATATGTAATGAAGCACAATCATTTATGTCCTTGTCTTCAAGAAAATTTGCCTTTTCCATTTTCCTTCTTTAGAAACCGTGCTGTTACATATTATCTCTGCAGCACAGACTATTGGAGTGTTGGCTGAAGGAATGCAATTAGTCTATTGCTGGAAATGAATCAATTTGAAATGCCAGAGGTATTTCAAAATCTGCCACTGGAAATGCCAGTAGTACTGAAAATGTTTGTATTTCCACATATAGCATTTACTTAGGGAAACAAAGAAATGACACTGTGCTTGCTTGAAGACAGAAAGAAGTGTGCACCATCACCATGAAGAAAGTAGATGGCAATGTCGACATTTTCAAATCAGAGAAGCCTGCGAGACTATGACCACAAATCCACAGGTATTACAGTTCGGCAGGAGCCACAGTCCTTGCGCCTCTGGGCTTATTTGAAGATCATAGATTTGCATGTCTTAAGTTAGATTCTCTTTCACATTAATACTCCTGAAGATGAGTTTCCTGATTGCAAAATGAGAGACACTCGTGAGAGTGGGTTATATTAGCTCAGGACCTCACAAGCTTTGTTTTGTGTTCAGCTGAATAGGTCAGTCCCAAAGTGTTTAGTGTTATGGACTATGACTCCTCAGTTTACATATAGATTTAGTCTGACTCTAAACACCTAGGCATAAATATTTGATCTAAAATATTTTCTTGAAGCTTAGTAGTTGGATTTGTTTAATCAAACACTCTGAGGAGACACCAAACTTGTCTTCTCTAATTCTTTCCATGGCTGTAACTATCCTTTTCTTCTGCCATACTCTGCCACATACAGATGCAGATACAGCATCTAAAGAGGGATCTGAGTGAGATCTTTGCCTGCTCTACTCAAATGAGTTTGTCAGGAGTGACTGCAGATGGATCCAAAAGGTCTGCATTTACTCTCAAACTTATCCACTCATCAAGAGCCAGCTCCTGTCTTCAGCACATTCTAAGTTTTCAAAATAGACTTCGGAGAAGTACTAGTCTTGTGTCCTTCAGAAAAATTAAAGTAAATTAGAACTTTATCAACACATTTCGACAAGACAAACAAAAAAATAGTCATGTTACCCTATAAAGACTGCCTTTATAGGATAAAGGTCCCCTGCTTCCCCATTTCTTTGTTCAAAGGACTTCTGTGATTGTCAGAAAGGAACAAACTCAATAGGCATTTGCCATGCTTATTAGCAGAGAAGTGTTTGTCTTTTGGGGCTACCTTCCCAGCTTTAAAAACAAGCAAGATGATGTTTGTTCTCTGAGGGAGAGGAGTGATGAAGAAATAGCTGTAGTTAAGACTAGTTATGTACAGCAATAGCTTGAAAGAGGACTTCTTTGAGACACACAGGATTCTGCTCTACCCAAATATGCACAACCATAATAGTGTTTTGGCATGACCTTCAGTACAAAGTCAGCCCTGACTGCAAATACTGTAATACAAACTATCGCAGACTATGCTCAGATTAGGAAGCACTGTGCTTAGAATGACGTTTGTTTTCTCTTCATGGTAATTCTGCGTTGCTTCTCACTTTGAAATACAAGCACACTTCTATGCAAAGAAGAAATATAAAACTTTGTCTCACCATTTCCCTTTCAATCAATAATAAATATTAGGGGCATTGAGAAAAAAATTATAAGGTGATCTGGCACCTTTGTAGCAACATATATACACCCATCAGTTGCAGTCTTGGTAGATTTGATTCTTTTCCTAAAACTCTACTGTTATACCATCCTCTCTTCAGGAACACAATACATCCAGTTCAATAATGCAGATTACTGTAGCAATGTATAAACAAAAATTACACCAGAATCAGCAAGTGATACATGGCATTCAGTGTGCTTTTTATGGCAGTATAGGTGAATGTGGCAGCAGGTCCTGGAGCTGAACTATCAGGCACATTGACAGTCACAGGCAGTAGAGGATGGCAGGTGAGATTAATAACACAAAGCAATAGAGAGACATGGAAGAACCTGAAGCTGTTGACTATTAACTGAGAATAAGGAAGAACATTGTTAAATTCCCCTATGGGACATGTGCAGCTTTAAAAACATTTGGTTTTAATAGACATTTTTGCAAATGTCTCTTTAAAGGCCGGTATCATTTGAGGATCTGTTCATTCAGTTGATGAATGAAGTCTGTATCATTTTTGTCTTAGTATTATTGTCTGTTTTTAAGCAGCTCTTTTTTTCCCCGGCACTCAAAATGCTAATCATGTATTTTCTAAAATCAATTGGAAAATAGCATACGAAGCCCTTCGGTGTTAGTAAGTACTCTGTTCTCTGTCTTAAAGATGCCATTCACATGCAATATTGTCTGGCATTGATTGTAACTGTAACAAATAAGCAATGGAAAATATAAACAGACCCGTGATATTTTCAGAATGCAACCATTTTGCATGCAGTAATATTTTACCCTATTTTTAATTTATTTCCTATTTTATATTAAATAAAAAGCATTATTTCTTATTAAAATTAAATATTAATTTCGTTTGCAGTATCAGTTTTTTGAGGTTTGTTTTTTGTTTTCATTAATAGATAACTTGGGTCTAGAGTTTGGCCTCTGATAATGAAAATGAGGTTTTCACTGCATTCAAGAGAAATCTGAGTATGAACCAAAGACAGACACATTCTGTTTAATATTGGATGACAGTAATATTTTAGTCTTGTCCAATGTAGTCCATCAGACAGGTAGCTACAGATGCTACGAATGGTTGCTCACCCCATACTCCTGGACCTAGAAATTGAGGTGATGCATGGAAGGCAGAGCAAGACTTTGATGCATTGCTGCATCAGTTTACTCAGAAAAATCTCTTAAGAAAAGTTCTTACAGATTCTCCAGATCAGGTTCCAGTTGAAACATGCAGACTTAAGCAAAAGTATAGCTAAATGTATAGCTAAATAAATTGACTAGTTGTTTCCTGGAGTTTCATTTGGCTTGAATCAGTTCATAGCTTATCCAGTGAGGTTCATCGAAGCTTATGCACTGGAATCATAATTACTAAAAAATCCAGAGTTACACAAGTCCCACTTAAAATTCAGTATAGATAATGGATGAGGGAAAAATCTCTGTATTTGATGTTAAAGTTCAGAGTGAATCTGTCTGTGTTATGGCCAGGCATATTAACTAGTTTGAACATGGTTAGACATATTGCAGGATGCAGAAAACATCTGTGTGAATTACAAGTCTTAACAAGCTATTGTTTAATCCTGGGTGAAATGCCACTGAGAGGCCACATTACTGCCACATTAAAAAACAAGCATACCTCTCTCTCAAAACAGGTGACTTCAGGGCTGGGCAGAGCTTTAATTTGCCTCATTTGTCATCACCATGTGATTCAAAGAATTTGTGCTACACCAGGAGGGACTGCTAGAGGACGAAAAAGGTCAATACAAGCTCCTGTCTTCCTCCTCTGCTGGATTTAGAAGATCTGAACCTCAGTAAGTCTAACTGGTTCTTTAAATGCCTTCAAATTTTACTTCAGATTTCAATTACTTCATTTAAAGCACTCAGCAACTTATGCCATCATGCTGACTTGCATTAAATCTCATTACGCCTCACTGCTTTACGAGGCTGTGCAGCTATGTGGCTGAGACAAGCAAGACAACAGTGTTAATAAAAATAGCGTGATATTTTCACTTCACCAGTAGAGTTATCGATCTAGTGGCAAAAACCAATAGTCATCCAAAAGTCAATAGTTCAGCTAAGTGTACAGGTGTGTGTTGTTTGTGGGATGACTGATCTGACTTTTTAAAAATATTAACCATATTTTTATTTTCATTATTTTTTTCCATATACCATTGTTTTAATTTGGAAACATGGCAAGAAAGGCCTCTTGAGCAACACTTCCAGTTCTGGTTGTTTTCTTCCTAACTGAGGAAGAATTCAGGGACAGAATTCAGAAAACCCTGAGACTTTCCTTTGGACCTTATCCATTTCTGTGGGCTTGTTTGTAGAACAAGGTAATGCTTGCAGACAAAAGTATAGCGGCAGTAAATCAGGTAGGTCTTCCATTCTGAGAAGAATTTTTAAAATTGCAGGAGCAATTGTTTGTTAGCATTTAGAGAAGGACGGTAGTAGAGTAAGTTCTCCACCAGGAGAGTAGCTCTGGAAGGAAGAGAATAGGCTTTGGTTTTGTGATGGTAAATTAAATAGGGTTAAAATAAGACTTGTTGACATTTAACTTCTGTATATCCAAAGCACCTAATGATATTCTCAAATTGTTGTATCATCTAAAATACAGCAGAAACCACTTCACAGGGATGTTAAGGATTTTAAATGGAACTAGTAACTTTTTTTCAGTATGCTCTAAAACTCCAAACTGCAAACCAGTAAACGGTACTTATCAGTTATCATGAACTTTCACCAACTTCTTAGTAAAATTTTCATTAATACCCTTTTATAGTAAGAAGTTAATAATACTTCCACTTTATAGCCAATAAAAGAGAGGCACAAATGAAGCGGCTGTTCCAAGGCCACTGAGAGATCCCCTGTGACTCGCAGAATTAGCGCTCGGCAGTGCCCGACGTGTGGTCTGAAAGCTCTACTGCACCCATTCCCCAGCGGGCACCACTGCAGACTTCCATGCACATGAAGTGTGGGAAATAGCTTCATTATATGTGGGGCTATAGATCAACTTGGTCACTACAGATCAGGCTAAGGTCTAAAAAGAACATAACCTATTTCAAATGAGAGTATAGTCATAAAGTGAATATATGCACAGAATGTGCCATGAACAGATAAAGTATTGTAGTCTCTTTTTGCTTAGGTTTGGTTTTGTGCCTTGATTAACTCAACTGCCTCAGAACCATGATTTGACCTTTGCACCACCTACAAGCAAGGACACGAGGAGTTTACTTTTAACAACAAGATTAAGAACCGACTGCAGCGGATCTGAGTTTTCAGGTCAGGGAGAGCTTTCTGAGAAGTGTCTGCTAAAATCTCAGAAATGCCTTTAAAATGCCACCTTACAAAAGGGAAGCCTACACCTACCCCTAAAATTAGTAGTCCCCCAATTCAGTAAATTTATCTAGCAACAAAATAAAATCATTACTATTTTGACATCATTGAGAAACTCTCTGCATAAAAAGATCAAGTGAGGACTGCAAGTTCCAACTTTGGATTCTTTTCCGTATTTAACATGGATATAAGTACATGAATTCTGTGATTCATGTTTGTATTATCACTGCAGAAATTATCACTGTTCCTCAAGTTGTTAAAAGTTTGCTGTTAGCGAAGAAGTGTAGTGAAGAGCTTTTGTATACGGAAGAGAAGGGGAGTTGCAGACGTGCACACAGCTATTTGCAAAGAGAAAAGAGTTAGTTCAGTTTACCTGACAGTCTGGCAATCTGGCCCCCTGGCTAGTTGTGAGCCGTGTGGCGGTATGGAGGCAGCAGGCTGCTGACAATCTACAAGAAACTGATAAATTAGACATATATACAGAGAGATTACAGAGCAAGGGGTTAGTAACAGTAGTACACAGGCTACGCATCTGATGGAGAGATTTAGTGAGGAATGTGCTCTTAGTTCCTTATCTGACAGAAACACCTTTTTTTCTGATAGTAGTATTAGTTGTTGCCTTTTTTTTCCTTTTCAGAAGTAGCAGTGGAGACGACGTTTGTTTGTCTTCCCTTAGCATTGGCAAATTTCTGTTTAAACGGACAGCAGTAATGGGCTGTATTCAGGGTCTGGGTTTAAACCTTGTACTTCTCATTCTTCTGCTGGTGATGAAGTTGTTTTTCTTATATCTAATACAAAAAGTGTCAATAAAGCTACTCAAAATTTCTCCAAAGAACTTACATCCATATAACAACAATTACAGATGCCATCTCATTATGGCCCTCGAGAAAAAGCTTGGAAGACAGTCTTCAGAACTTCTTGCTTATGAGATTGTTTTGAAAAGGGAGTACTTGATACAGTTAGTTTTCACTGTTCTGTCTGGATTATTTTATCAATTCTCTGTCAAAGCAGTTTCCACATTAATCACTTGTAAAGCTGTATTCTAGTTCTGAATTTATTAAGTAACAGTAAAGCCAAATAATCCTTTGTTGCTACATTTTTACTGTGACATTTAGAATATGAAGACAGCTTTAAACTCAATAATATTTGTGGGACTTCACAAAAGTAGTTGAATGAGACAGCCCTGCTGTCTAGCTCACTAGTTTCTACCAAGATTTCCAGATCTCAAGATTTGCTTGCTTCCCCCGCAGCAGCCTGGCCTTTCATTCCACTGCCTGTGTGATTCAGATTGTCAGACAACAGAGTCATCAGGGTCCTTTCGAACATAAAAAAATCTGTGGGTGAAATTCTGACCATCTGGGAAACTACTGGAGATTACTTTTTGTCTTCAGCAGGGTTTGCAGACCTATCATCCTCTCTGACTGCTTCAACCTGATTCTCAACTTGACTCTTCAAAGGAAAGGAGTTACTTTCCCCTGAACCTTATAAATTAAACAACTGCACTTCACGTACTTGGAAAAAAATTTATTTTGTTTTTTTTTTTCATTTGTTTGCTACTTAAAGCTCAACACCAGTAATCATTTCTCTTTACAATATAGACATTTTCCGAACCCCACTTCTATTCGTTGTCTCAATGAAGTGGAAGAACGTGCAAGTAATTTTCTATCAAGAGTCTTCAGATGAAATCAGGTACAATGCAGGGCAACACACCTTCCTAGCAATGCTGAGCATCATATCCACTATCATAACAGTTCCTTTTCATACAAGCCCAAAGTGCTTCTCCCTACTTCCTACAAAGATGTGTGCTGACCTCCAGTGGGTGGAAGCAAGTGTACCCAAATCCCTAGTTTCTTCCTGCTTCAGCCAAGAGGAGAGGGTTTTGGACCTATTTTCAAGTGCACAGGTATCTACGTCAGAAAAATATGCACAGTTAGTGCTGGCACCGTTGTGTTAGGAAGCAGAAATGGAATGAGAAAGGATACTGTGTCATTCTCTCCTTTACCAGAATGGTCACCATAGTCCTCACTACATCTTTTAGCCGAGGAATGCAAGAGTTTGCAGTGTATTTGAGCCACGAATAGAAGGGTTTGTCATTTCAGCGTGAAGCTCAATTGAAAGAAAAGGTAAAGAAAAGGTGCCTCAGGGGACAGACAGAGCAAGCTAACTGTAGATGGGAAATGATTGGGGAAAAAAAAAAAAAAAGAAAAAAGTTCATTGACTTATTCTAAACAAACTAGTTTGCAAAAGTCCTGACAGTTAGAGGAGGTAGTCAGTGAGAAAAGGAATAGAGAACAGAATGCTGTGTGATGAAAAGGTGCAGATAGGTTTCATAAGTACAGAAAAAATTGTTCTGACAGCCTTTTCCAAAACAATGCAAATGCCTGATTTATGATCCTATTCTAATATCTCAAACATCCTGCAAATATTTTATAATGCTCCTTCATCTGCTAGATTTGGCAGAATGCATGAATAGAGAGCCAGATTCTGCAAGCATTATGCAAGCTGAATAATAACTATTCGATGTGAGCAAACTGCCTTGACTTCACATGAAAAAACAGTTCAACCTGGCCTCAGCAATCCTCATACAACATGGCTAGTTCACATCAGTCCAAAAATCTAGTGATCCACATGACTTAAAACGGCTCAATCGTCCTCCTACATCCTCCAGGAACGAAGTTTTTGAGGATTACGCTAGGAAAGAGCTAAGTAGAATGCATATGGCTTACATATACTCATTTCAAATTCAAAGGAGCTCTTATCTACTTATATCCAAGTATCTGTGCCAGAGCTAACTTTATTCCTTCTATGTTTAATCCTTTGAAGTATTTCAGAGGGTTTATAATGCTATTCTCTAATGTCATGACAATCAAAAAATGACTTCCCATTACATTGTGTTTAAAGGTGAAAACTAGCAGACAGCATTCAGTACCTCCTATCTACTAAGGAACTCCTTCCTGTATCAAGTAAATGTTTGTTTCTTTCTTAAATATTCTACTGAAGGTTAAAGTTTCAAAGATGTCTTTACTGATTCTGTGGTCAATGTCACATATCATAAAGACAAGGTAAGAAAGACATACTCTCTTTTACTAAAAAATAAAAATAAATTAAAAAATTATGTTGGAAGCAGCCCGTTCTCAGTATTTTTCAAATCTCAGGGAGTATCAGTCAAGCTACAGAGTGAAAGGACAGTTTGTCATTTCTGTAGAAGACACTTGGGGAACAGACACAGATTATACTTTTTAGAGTGTCTTCTGAGATCACCACCAACAAAATTATTAATAAAGTTATTAAATACAGACTATCTTATTTCTCCATCATCTGCAGTTGTTGTGAGGAAGTAAACTACTGGGGGCAGGGGGTGGGCTGGCTGATCTCTTAAGAGTTCTTTTATGATTCTGTGAACCTATAACCGAGAAGTTAAGTTCAGTGACCATTTCAACCACAAGAGGCAAAGAGGAGCTATTGTACCCCAAAATTCATATGCCAGTTTTCACTTAATTCAGC